TGAAAAGATTGCAGAAAAATCAGGTTAAACAGGTAAATATTAAAGTCTATTTTATATATATAGCTTTGTTCTCCTCCCACATTCTAATGTAAGTCATATTTTCAAAAGAACAATGCTGTTGGCGTCGGTATCTTCCATACCGTAAGTTGTCAACTTTGATTTAATGGAGTAACAAAGTGCTAGTAAGCAAGTCTGTGGCATGTCACATGACAAGTTCTTGGATGAGTTTTAAAATAATACTAAATGACTATAATTGTACAATACATTCAAACACATGGTGTTATCGTGCCTTTTCAGTGTCATCATGGGTCAGATTATCCCATTTTGAATTAAATGGCAAATGGTCTTAAATTTTTCCAATGAAATAAAAAAAAAAAAAATCCCAATCAAACTGAAACTCCCGATATTGAAACTGAAAAATTTACTGAAGTTCATTCTAGTGTAGTAACAGACAGATGTTTCCTCATTATTTTTTAAAATACAATACTGCATGTTTTTTGTTGACAAAAATTATGAAAAATCAGAATTGCATATGAATGTTATCCAGTAATGCTGTTGTTGATGTAAATTTTGTGGCAACAAGGTTGAATACATGTTAAAATGTATTTTGTTGAAATGTGTAGAGATATATTTGTTAAAGAGTAAGACTAAAAACAGTCCTGGAGCAGCACACTAAATATCATATTCTGCTATATACCAAATAAGGCACTTGAATGAGTAAATGCTAAAATCTCACCTTTTCACCCAAAGAAATGTTCTTTCAAATGTCTAACTCATCTCTTCAAACCAATTTATATATGATGAAATGATACGTGTATAATAAAAAATGTAAGAATCGGCAAAAAAAACACAATATTTTTGTACTTTGTAATCATGATTTCTCCAAGTGTCTAGAGGTACTGTTCCAACACTGTAGTGAGTTAAATCCTTCAGTAAAGTGGTCATTGTAAGTGTTTCATGAACTTGTACTAATGTTGTTTTAGATAAAGGCCACTCACATATGTCTCTTTGGTGACTTGCATGCTTCTAGCCATGCTAATGAACTTGAGCTAAATACAAATGTACAGGATACTTGAATGGGATACTTTTGTAATTACCCTGTTTTATGATGCTCACAAAATGAACTTGGGGTATCCATTGTCAAGTGGTTGAGGTCCCTGACTTCAAACCACTTGCCACTTACGGCTTTAGTTCCCAATCCTGACGGGGATTTTAGACTCTTCCATGTGAGAAAGCTATCAAGCTAGCTTACAGAAATTTGGTCGTTCTACTCAAGTGCCTGTTTGTGCCTCATAAAATTCATAGAAGGGCACCTGAGGTCTTCCACTTCCAGTTAATCTGGAATGTCGCCATATGACTTGTAGTGTGTTGGTGCGAAGTAAAACCCATTCCAAAAAATAAAACCCAACCCAAACTTGACTTTGTTGTATTTTTTCAGGTTATTGAGGTAGATCGTAGCAGACAAGACACTGCCCAGAAACGGAAACATAAAAAATCTGTTTAATGTATTGCAAGAATAATCATTTATTTATTTAACATTTTGACTCGGCAATTTTTCATGTGACATTTTTAATCAACCCTTGCTTGTTAAGGGAGCAATATTGTAAAAACTATATTCGATATTGGCATAGATGTTTTTATCATATTTATCATAATGAAATGTGAAATTTTTACAGAGGAATTAACCTTGAATACCAGTCCCCTGTTGCACTGTACGAGTCAAGGAGATAATATATAATTTATATTCTTATATGAATGAAATTATTTTTACTGAAAATAGAATGAAATAATTTATACTGAAAATAGAATGAAATTATTTTTACTGAAAATAGAATGAAATAATTTATACTGAAAATAGAATGAAATTGTTTATATTGAAAATAGAATGAAATAATTTATACTGAAAATAGAATGAAATAATTTATACTGAAAATAGAATGAAATAATTTATACTGAAAATAGAATGAAATTGTTTATACTGAAAATAGAATGAAATAATTTATACTGAAAATAAAGAAATACATGTATATTTCATAACAATATTTGAAGACTTTTTTTCTTTATTTATTACACTCTTTTTAGCTCACCTGTCACAAAGTGACAGGGTGAGCTTTTGTGATCGCTTTTCGTCCGTCGTCCGTCCGTCCGTCCGTCCGTAAACTTTTGCTTTAAATGACATCTCCTCATAAACCACTGAGCCAATTTCATCCAAACTTCACAGGAATGTTCCTTTGGTGGTCACCTTTAAAAATTGTTCAAAGAATTTAATTCCATGCAGAACTCTGGTTGCCATGGCAACCAAAAGAAAAATCTTTAAATATCTTCTTTTAAAAAAAACATAAGAGCTAGAGCTTAGATATTTGGCATGAAACATCTTCTAGTGAGTGTCTACCAAGTTCAAATAAAAGCCCTGGGTTCAAAATTGGCCCCGCCCCAGGGGGGCATTGATTTTCCCTATATGCATATAGTAAAAACTTAAAAATCTTTCTTTAAAAAACCCAAAGAGCTAGAGCTAAGATATTGGGCATGAAACATCTTCTAGTGAGTGTCTACCAAGTTTGTTCAAATTAAAAGCCCTGGGTCAAAATTGGCCCCGCCCTGGGGGTCATTGATTTTCCCTTATATGCATATAGTAAAAACTTAAAAAATCTTCTTTTAAAGTAACCGTAAGAGCTAGAGCTTAGATATTTGGCATGAAACATCTTCTAGTGAATGTCTTACCAAGTTTGTTCAAATAAAAGCCCTGGGGTCAAAATTGGCCCCGCCCCAGGGGGTCATTGATTTTCCCGATATGCATATAGTAAAAAACTTAAAAAATCTTCTTTTAAAGAACCCAAAGAGCTAGAGCTAAGATATTAAGCATGAAACATCTTCTAGTGAGTGTCTACCAAGTTTTGTTCAAATTAAAGCCCTGGGGTCAAAATTGGCCCCGGCCCGGGGTCATTGATTTTCCCTTTATGCATATAGTAAAAACTTAAAAAATCTTCTTTAAAAGAACCATAAGAGCTAGAGCTTAGATATGGGCATGAAACATCTTCTAGTGAATGTCTACCAAGTTTGTTCAAATAAAAGCCCGGGGTCAAAATTGACCCAGCCCAGGGGTCATAGGATTTTCCCTATATGCATATAGTAAAAAACTTTAAAAAAATCTTCTTTAAAGAACCCAAAGAGCTAGAGCTTAGATATTTGGCATGAAACCATCTTCTAATGAGTGTCTACCAAGTTTGTTCAAATAAAAGCCCTGGGGTCAAAATTGCCCCCCGCCCAGGGGTCATTGAATTTTCCCTATATGCATATAGTAAAAACTTAAAAATTCATCTTTTAAAGAACTCAAAGAGCTAGAGCTAAGATATTTAGCATGAAACATGTTCTAATGGGTGTCTACCAAGATTAGTTCAAATAAAAAGCCCTGGGTCAAAACTGGCCCCGCCCGGGGGGGTCATTGATTTTCCTTATATGTGTATAGCAAAAACTTGAAAAATCTTCTTTGGAAAAACCCAATAGCTAGAGTTTTAGAATATTAAGCATGAAACATCTTTGAGTAAATATCTACAAAGTTTGTTAAAATAAACGCCCGGGGGTCAAAACTTGCCCTGCCCCAGGGGTGTCATTGTTTTTAACTATATGTGTATAGTAAAAACTTAAAAAATCTTCTTTTAAAAAAGCCAATGAGCTAGAACTTAGATGTTTAGCATGAAACATCTTCTTATCGGTGTCTACCAAGTCTGTTCAAATAAACAAATAAAAGCCCTTGGGTAAAAATTGGCCCGGGGGTGGGGGGGGACTATATACAGGTGAGCGACCTCAGGGCCATCATGGCCCTCTTGTTTTTATTCTATGCTCACTAGAAATAGCATTGACATCCAGGACATAAGACTCCCAAATTTCAATTTTGAACAAAGCAAGCTTTATATACTTTAAATGGAAAAAAAATATGAATAAGGAACTTGCATCATACTTTATGATTTACATAATATTGACCTCCCAACAGTAATGAACCTGATCAGACTGCATAAATATGATGGCTTGCCTAGCTCTATAATGATGATGGCAGTGACGATTGGTTTTGGTTCCAACAGACAAATTGTTTTTAGCTCCAATTTTCAAAGAAACAAGAGGGCCATGATGGCCCTGGATCGCTCACCTGACACAACCGCATCCAAGTAATGTCTTAAACAAGCATCATGGCCAAGTTTGATGACAACTGAGTCAAACATGTGACCTCTAGTGTGTTATAAAGATTTTTCCATATTTGGGCAATGTGACCTAATTTTTGACCAGACACGACCCATATTCAAACTTGACCTGGAAATCATCAAAACAACCTTCCTGACCAATTCTGAATCAAAACTGCAGCCACTAGAGTGTAAACAAGCTTTTTCTATTTTAGCTCCTGTGACCTAGTTTTTGACCGGAGATAACCCATCTTTGAACTTGAACCTAGAAATCATCAAAAAACCTTAACAAATTTCCAGAATATTTAGATCGAAAACTGCAGCCACTAGAGTGTTAACAAGCTTTTTTCTATTTTTAGCTCCTGTGACCTTGTTTTTTGACCTGAGATGACGCCATCTTTCGAACTTGTCCTAGAAATCATCAAAACAACCTTCCTGAAAAATTTCCAGAATGCTTTGGATGAAAAACTGCAGCCACTAGAGTGTTAACAAGCTTTTTCTATTTTTTAGCTCCTGTGACCTAGTTTTTGACGGAGATGACCCATCTTCGAACTTGACCTAGAAATCATCAAAACAACTTTCCTGACAAATTTCCAGAATATTTGGATGAAAAAAAAACTGCAGCCACTAGAGTGTTAACAAGCTTTTTTTCTTTTTTAGCTCCTGTGACCTTAGTTTTTGACCCGGAGATGACCCATCTTCTTCGAACTTAACTTACACTATCAATCTAAACAACCTTCCCTACAAATTTCCAGAATCTTTTTTGGATGAAAAAACTGGCAGCCCCTAGAGTGTAAACAAGCTTTTTCTATTTTTTAGCTCCTGTGACCTAGTTTTTTGACCGGTGATGACCCATCTTCGAACTTGACCTAGAAATCATCAAAACAAGTTTCCTGACATAAATTTCCAGAATATTTGGATGAAAAACTGCAGCCCACTAGAGAGTTAACAAGTTTTTCTATTTTTAGCTCCTGTGACCTAGTTTTTGACTGAGATGACCCATCTTCGAACTTGACCTAAGAAATCATCAAAACACTTTCCTGACAATTTCCAGAATATTTGGATGAAAACTGCAGCCACTAGAGTGTTAACAAGCTTTTTCTATTTTTAGCTCCTGTGACCTAGTTTTTGACCGGAGATGACCATTTCGAACTTGACCTAGATATTATCAAAACAATCTTCCTGACAAATTTCCAGAATATTTGGATGAAAACTGCAGCCACTAGAGTGTTAACAAGCTTTTTCTAAGTTTTTAGGCTCCTGTGACCTAGTTTTTGACCGGAGATGACCCATCTTCAAACTTGACCTAGATATCATTACAACAACCTCCTGACAAATTTCCAGAAATATTGGATGAAAACTGCAGCCCTCTAGAGTGTTAAAAACAAGCTTTTCTATTTTTAGTTCCTGTGACCTAGTTTTTTAACCCAAGATGAACCATATTCAAAGTTGACCTGTATTTCATTGAGACAAACATTCTGACAAAGTTTTGATGACGATCCAATCAAACTGTGACTGCTAGACTGTTAACAACCCAATTGTTAAGAGTGTTAACAAGCTTTTTCTACTTTTAGCTCCTGTGACCTCGTTTTTGACCGAGATGACCCATCTTCGAACTTGACCTAGATATCATCAAAACTACCTTCCTGACAAATTCCCAGAATATTTGGATGAAAACTGCAGCCTCTAGAGTGTTAACAAGCTTTTTCTATTTTTAGCTCCTGTGACCTAGTTCTTGACCCGAGATAACCCCCATTTTCGAACTCGATCTGTATTTCATTGAGACAAACATTCTGACAAAGTTTGATGATGATCCAATCAAAACTGTGACTGCTAGACTGTTAACAACCCAATTGTTGACGACGAACGATGCACAACACACGACGATGGACATAGCCCCATCACTATACCTCACCTTGACCACTTCGTGGTCAGGTAAGCTAAAAAAAAGAAAAGTTGAGCTATTGTCATGACCATCTTGTCTGCATTGGCGTCTGCTTTTTTAACCTTTTCGTTAAGGTCCATGTTCTCAAGAAACCATTAAAGCTACTCACGACAAACTTTGTATACTGGTACCTATTGTCATAAAAGTTGTCCTCAAGAGGGGAGATAATCCTAAAAAAATTATGTCCCTTTTTCTGTTTTACTTTTGGCACTGAGAAAATTGGGAGTGCACTGCACATGGACAGGCTTGTTCTTCTGAGTTGTACAAATCTTTAAAAAAGACATTTATAAAGCCTCTTGCAGTATTTACCAGGCATTACCTGAATGTTCAGGTTCACTTGAATCATCTTTTGGAATATCTACAAGATACAGATGTGTTTCTTAAATCCATCCAAACCATCTAGTATTAAAACAGAAATCTTGCTTATACAAAACAAAAAGTTATAAAATATCTTTTTTTTTTATGTTTTTATTACTTTTCTTTACCAAGTAAAGGTTTACATATATAACAGCTTTTACATATGATTCAATACATTGACATACATTTTAAAAGTAAAACAATATCACTTATGTCATTTTCATACCAGCATTTTAAATGACCAAGTAAAATAGCTCAATACTTGTTTTACAGGTATATACATGTATTGTTGAAGTATATATAGTTAAATATTTTCACAATTTCCTTCACAACAAATTAATCTATCTATGTGAAAAATGGGGTAAGTTTAAAATTAAGAAAGGAAAGACTTATTATAGGCATTGACTCATTCTAGGCTCCATGTTCATAATGTAAGTTTATAATGACCTAGACCTGATTCAAACAACACAAAATTTTGGAAATGACCCATAATAAGAGCCAAAAAACTTGTGCTTTGCATATGGTTAACTTTTTTGCCAAATACTTTCAATTTCCTTCAAAACAAAAGATATTTAGTGGACAAGAAAATCATTAACAGACAGACCAGGTGCATAATATTAAAACACCGAAATTCTTTCTGAAATACTGAAAGGGACTCCACTGAGGTTTAAAAGCCTAAAAACATAACATTTGAATTTCTTACATAAATAAGCCGGGGCACTTTACAAAAATATATGCAAAGATAGTTAAGAATTATACTTTGAAATAAATTGAAAATTGTATTTTTATGCTTTTCTTAGCCCGATTTGTGTGAAAAGCATTTAAATGCTAGATCATGACAATTGAACCTTAAATAAGCATGTATAATCTTTGGCAGTGTTAACAGCATAACTTACATGGTCAACATGTTTGTCAATTAACTCAAAGTTCGACCATCTCTTTTATTCTTTCATCTGCACCTGAAACTTGGTAATACATATTGTACAATGTACCAAAACATTAACATACATAAAAGTATCTATAATTTCCCATCGTGTAACATTTCACATATTTACCTAAATACTGTACTGTATGACTATAAATCTTTTACATCTACAACTTAATTCAAGCAAACCATATAACAGCAACACCTGTCCTTGTAGAAAGGGAGATAAAAATGCATTCAAAATGGAGCTGCAGTCTTGAGTTTCTTTATAATTAGTTAATATACATACTGATGGCACATACTATATAAGTGATTAAGTTAGCAACATGGAAATATCAGTGATTTACGCTAAAATATCCTCTAGCGAAAATATCAACCAACCTGTCATTAAATTTTACCCTTGCATGATTTGCTAATATTTCCTTAAGCTTAATGTCTGGAATTTTAAATTTGTTAACTTTTCAACAGTACATATCATTATCCGGGCTAGTGTTCATAAAACGAAACAAAACCGGTTTTTTAGTATAGAAGTATGAATACAACAACATTTTGTTCTACACAAATTCATTATCTGCTTTGTAAAAATTGTTACATAGGAACATGTACTGCAAAATCATTGTTATTCATGAGGAACTTATTTTCATGGTTTTCGTGGATCGGTCAATCCACAAATTTAAGCTCTTATGTAATTTCATTTACTGTAAGATTATTTTGTATCACATTATTTACAATTTACAGTCCACATATTTTTGAACCCACAAAAATGTTCTTTGTGACAAAACCACTAAATTTCATGCCCACGAAATTAAGTGAATTCACAGTATCTCACACTCGGCTATACTAGTAACATTCATATATAATACATATCAAAGACATGGTTATTTCATAAATCACCATATTGGAATGTGGAAACATTCACGAAGCTGATCTTTGTATTTTATACATATCTAAATACAGCTCCTGTAAAACCAGATGATAAAATTTTGAAACATCATTATGGCAACTCCTATTCATTAACCCTTAACCTGCCAAATTTATATAATTGCCTAACTCTGAATTTGGAACAGTCTATTCTAACTTTCAGGGACTTCAGTATCAAATTTATAGAATTGCCTAGCTTTGAATATAGAACAGTCCATTCCAAGTATCAGGGACTTCAAAATTGAAATACAAATATTGAGCTACCAAAAGTATAGAACCTGTGCGACTGCAGGGCTGTGTCTATACTATAGGTAAAGGCTAATCAATTTTGGTTCCATCAGGTGAATGGTTAATTCTTTTAAAATGTACATATGAAAACTGCCCATAGATAAAAGCTTATCTAAAAACATAGGTGTTTACATGATTCTTTTTGATGCAATTATTAGAAAGTCGTACTAACATGATGTGCCTAGCCTAAAAGGAAAGAATAAAAAATGTATAATAATAGAATATGATTTTTATAAGCAGCATAATTATCACAGGTGGGTGTAAATACAGTATATTCATATTTGCTATATTTTGTAGAGTACTAGAGCCAAAATAACTGATTGTTCAGGCATAATACTAACCTTTTCAACAAAGAGATTATAATAAGTATGGAACATCAGAAAAAAAACATTTTGAATGATTGAAGCTAAGAAAATAATCCTGTTATTTAACAAGCTTTACATTATTCATAGGGCATTCATGTGCATTATTACACACGGCATAAAAAAGGAATGCTTATCGTTCATACGACCTCAATAGGCCAAATGACATTGGGAAAAACTATTTTTAATGCACAATGTTGTTCAATATATTTTTTGCTGCATTTGAGAATGGAAATAGACATTCATTTTGCTTGCATTGCTATATAATAATGCATGGTTAATCGTTCAAATGCTTTGTGGCCTATCAGCCTTTGTGATTTTATTCCTAAGCATGTGAACTTGAACTGTGCAATATTCTGTAACAATGCAATTAAAATTGATTTTTAAACAAATGCTTGTAAAGATATTGAACAATTTAAACTTGTTTATTTTTCAACATCATACCATGGAAAAGGTATTACAACCCTTGCTATTTCTATGCTGGTTATATGTTGGCAATGACTATAATAAATTCACACACCTTTAAATAAAATTTCATTTTGTATAACAATGGATTGAAGGTAAATATTTGTAATAACATGATAAATAGAAACTCGGGAAAGCAGAGTAATTCTATAAGAGCTACAAAAGACAAAATTTTTTTATTAAAAACTAGGTACTGATAACATTTGCCATGTGACAAAAAGATTTGGCTTGACTGTAATACTTTTTTATTGATGACTGCACACAATCAATCTTCAATAGGTGTTCTACAAAAACATTTGTACATATAGCACTAAGTTTACTTAATTGAACACATGTATATGACTTGACAATACATAATCTATTATCTATCAGTAATTCACTAATTGTTTAAGTAGATTTTTTTTTTACACAATAACCTTAATATTGCACAATTATCATAAAACAAAACAAATATATATATATATGTATATGTAGCTACTTTAGATAAAACAATGTTTGGTCACACATATACTGACATTATAAAGGGAGACAACTGAGCTGTTAATCAACATCTCATTTTTGATTTCAGGAATTAAGTAAAGTAACTACAAACTTGTACAAGTTGTTTATCAATGGACAAAATGGCACTCTTCTAATATTGTGTATGCCCCAAACAACAATGCCCTGCTTTAATAATAATGATTATCAGTTTGATACTAGTAATACTTCAGTTCATCAACAGCAGAAAGAGTCAAAACAAATACAATTTAGAGCTTGCAAGAACAAGTAGAGAAGCATGTATGTTTTTTTTTTACTGGGTCATAATATAATGGGACAGACAACAGAAGATTATGGCCCTGTTATCCTTTCATCTAATCAGGCACACTCGCTATCATTTTGTCTCATTTTGTCTTGTTGATCCTTGTGAAAGGGTTTTTTTGTTTGTAGTATATAAATCGGTGTAAATCAGAGGAATATATTTTGGCATAAAATTTTAGATGACTATTAATATTAAAATGGTCTTTACAGGATATTATGAAAATTTGTCAATGTAAATGAGCCGCGCCATGACAAAACCAACGTAATGCGTTTGCGACCAGCATGAATCCAGACCAGCCTGCGCATCCGCGCAGTCTGATCAGGATCTATGCTGTTTGCTTACAAACTCTATAATAAGTAGAGAAACCGATAGCGAACAGCATGGATCCTGATCAGACCGCGCGGGCTGGTCTGGATCCATGCTGGTCGCAAACCCATTATGTTGGTTTTGTCGTGACGCGACTCAAATTTTCATTACAGCATAAATATATGAATTAAACACTCATGTTTAACGAATTATTGATTGTCAACTGGACAACTACATAAAACACCTATCTCGTAGGCAGTTACTTGTCCCCATTATATTATGTCCCAGTTTTTTACAAATTCATTTTTGTATCAGCAAAAAACAAAGATGATAGGTTTTTTTTCTACTTTTAGCATACATTAATGTACATGGAAACTTATGATTCTACAAAGATAGATACATATTGTGACACTATTCTAGATAATGGCAAATTAACAACTGATTATACCAATAAGTAGTCAACATGACTGGAAAATTGCTTAACAAGTGTAAAATTGAAGTATTATCAATATAATTCTCAATTCATTAAATTCTTTACATTCCAAATAAAAATGAAAAATAAAGATTCTACACTATTGAATTGCTTTCTATACTTTTAAGAAAGCAAACTATCTTCACCAAACACAATTTTAGATACGATAATATTGCAAATTACACACATATGACAAACAAAAATTTCCACTTTTTCACATTCATAATCTGTATGCAAGTGTTAGGTTCCAATTTGGCTTAATGGATATACATTCAAATCACACTTTAATAGGACCCTTTGTTTGTATAAATAAACTGTTAATATTAATACAGTTTTTAATCACAGACATTTGGTTTGGACAATGTTACTACAGCTCTGGTATACATTTTGTTTTTGTGTGTGTTTTATCTGGTTTGAATTTAAAGCAGCACGCCTCCAGATTCATCCTAATTTTCATGAACATTTTGAAAATGTATTTAAAGGTAAAATATTGTGAAATGAACAAAGAAAGTACTCGACACATTACAATCTGCACTTAAAATCCACGTAAATTACCAAAAAGAGGTCAAAATATGCAAAATAGCCCCTACTGCGTTAGTAACGCAGTAGAAATATGGTGATAAATACTACAAAATACAGTCATTAAGTGCACATAAGATATAAATTATCACTTGAATCTTTAATTTGTTTACTTTTCTCAAAGTTTTAGTATGGTTTTTCAAAGTTTAATTTTCTTGAAATATTTTGGGTCATCTGGAGGCATGCAGCTTTAAGTCACACTTATGCTATTATGGACATTAAGAATTTTTTACACGAGTATTCTGAAATGTGGGTATTTGACCCTTTAAATTATATGAGAGTTGAGAAAAATCAGATGTTATAAATACATACAGGGATGGACAAAATTAATAAGCATGATGCTGCATCGGTATATACTAACGACAAATTTTGATAAATTTCAAAGGCCAATTAAGAAATAATGCAAATATTTACAAGCTAACATCATGAGATGATGTACTTGAATATACAAACTAAGTACTGAAAGGATTTAACTCCTGACAGATTTAAAATTTTTGAACATTTTCTTTACAAAGAGGAGCAAAATTATGACAGGAAAATTAGTTTCCTTGGCAACAGAGCTGCTTTAACATTGCCAAAACAACAAATGTCAGAGAAATATAATGATCAATAAATAATAAAAAATAATTTTCTATGTAACAACTATGTACTAGCTTTTTGTTGCTATAAGTATTATTATAAGAATTATTATCAATAATGCTAATATTAAAATTAAATGCATTTTTCTATTTTTCTTTTGGTATTTTTCAGCTTTTTGTAATTGTTGTAGTCCTTTCTCCACCTGCACTGATGCATGTTCTATATTATAGTCTATTCTGTCTAATATTGTTCCCTGGAACATAAAAATAGTCATATGAAGGAAAATACATGTAATATTATAGCACCAATAAGTATAAGATTATTATCATTTTCATGAAGATAATAGACAGATGAGAGATTTTTTTATCTTATCTTAAGCATATGATACAAGTATAATGGAAATGAGCCTCAAATTTGCATAATTGTTAATTGAAAAGCATCTATATGTATATAGTTTTTAAGGAATCAGAAAAGCAAGATGGGTATGTGATAAGAGCAATGAATAAAAGTAGCTTTAATAATGCCATGAAAATGAAAACCTTAGGATCATATCAATTCAATCCTGGATGTTTGTGAGTAATAAATGATTATCTTAAAGAGATCACTAGACAACGAAAAAAAGACAAAATAGAGGTAAATACCTGATCCACAACCATGTGTGACAGATCTTTAAATATTTCATTCAGATCTTGTATAGAGCGTACAATGTGGGCAATCTCCTTATCTCTCTGATTTACTACCTGTGTATTGTTGTCTACCAGCTGCATCTGTTCTGATGAAAAACCCTGAAATATATATTAAAGGGACATTGTGCCTCAAAAATCCATATTTTTAGTTCTTTAAAAATGTCAAACATGTCTTTAATAATGTTTTAATAATGGATTTAGAGCATATTAGATGTTTAACAACTGAAGAAAGTTGCTGGATATGCAATTATGTGTTGTAAGGGTAGCAAAATGTAAACAAAGTAGTATTTTGATTTCCATACAAAATACTAAATCACTATGATTATACCCATTAAAAACAGAGCAGAAGAAGTGAAAGCTAGTTCATCTGTGGCAAATGAGTATTTCTTTATGAAACTGTAACAACATACCAAAAATACAATGTTTTTGAGAAATAAAAATGATAGCATTTCTAAGATGCAATGGGCCTTTAACATTAAAAACCCTGTAACACATATCTACATTTTAATAAAACCGTGTTAAAAGTATCAATATTAAGACAATAGTGAAAATATCAAAAATATCTTGAAATTTCAAACATTAAAAACAAAAATCAGAATACATTTTTGAAATGGGTAGTGCAAGGAATAGTGGGGAAAATTTGTGGGGAAAATTAGCAAAGTACCATCCATCTATAATCATACTGCTGGGACAATGCAGTGGGGTTTTTTAACTAGCAGAGAAGAAAAGCCAAACTTGCATTGTGGGGGGCCTTTACAGGGAAATTGGAGGGTGAGACCTTTTCAGGGATGGTTTTAGAGGGCGGGGCCTTTACAGGGAATATGGTAATATAAAGTCAAATTTCCTGCTAATCAGATCAGAGTTAAATATGACTGATATCTTACTTACCCTATCATAACTTGCATACATATCATCTTCAGGAAGTGTTCCTGAATCTGGTCCTATATTTGTGTCAAAAAATTGAGATCGTTCTTCTCGACTCCGTAATTCTGTAAAAGAAATGAACAAAAACATAAATGTCATAAAGTTATTGGCATTGAACAGTGACCTCCTATTATGCTCTTAAATTAGCATGTGAAGTTTCAACCTATTCCCTTCATTAGTTTTGAAGGTACCAACTTGCATACAAAAACTTAACCAAAGTATGAAAGCAATTGTGATAATTGGGTGAGTACAATACTGGTAGCTCTACGTATTCTTTGTTTAGACAAGCTAAAAATTAGCTAAGTGTTCAAAGAACATGAATTTGAGCTGGCAAATATTAACATTATCTTTTTATGGTGTTCATATATAAGTATAAAGCTAATACTATCAAGCATTATTGAATTTAGACCAAATATGAACATGACAAGTACTAAAATTATAAAGACATTAGTAATGTATTTGATTTCAAAAATGAGTTGCAAGTATATATTATCAATATACTTAGTGAAATTCCATGCAGTGACCTTAACCTTTGACATGGACCTTGCACATTACACATATTTACTATGCAGATTTTTCAAACCTACGTGTGCAGACGTCTTGCACACAAACAGGACAAAACTGTATGTCTATAACCAATTTTCAGCATCAAATCTTTTAAAATTCACTCACTTTTCAAGTATGATGATTGACTTTTTCTAAAATTATTTGACATTTCCTGTATAGATCTAACAAGGGACATAACCATGTTTTGTGAAAGAAGCAGTTCTTGATCGGTCCCACGTCTACTGCGGGCAGTGATTTGCTGTATTAATCGCTGGCAGTGTGCAAACATCTGAAAGACAAACAGACAATACATGTGTCAAAACAACCTTAGCTAGGAAACCTTTATAAGTTTCTCACAATAATTTGAATGGTAAAGTTACTTTATAATAAATACAAAACAAGAGCTGCCAGATGCTTTTCTATTCTCATTGCTTGATAGCAAACCAAGAGCCTGGATAATGTTAAAAAAAATTTTAAGTTCAAAAAGGGCCATAATTCTGTCAAAATCAATGTTAAAGTTATAGGCCTTGGATAGTGACCTCCAATAATGCTCTCAAAAAAGTCATGCTGATGCCTGGGTGAGTACAATAGCTGTCCCTATTCTTCCAACAGTTGAGCTAAAGACAAAACTATGTCCATATCAAGTTAAAAGTTGAACTAAAACAACAGAAATCAATATTTCTAAGCAATTTTTTAATATATCTCGCATGATTTATTTGCTATAAAGTTTTATGAGTAGTCAAAGTGTAAAAATCCATAATGCCTGAACCTCATTGCAACATGACATGTCAGCCTGCTGACATTACACTCACATGCATAGTAGGAGCTGGGTTTTAGTAATTTATTAATCATAACTTGTAAATTTTATGACTTAAAGACATATTTATGCCTTATCTTCTTTGTGACAAGAATAATAAAAGGAGATATAAATACTTGAGTAATTTCCTGGGTCTGTATTTCTATCGCATGTTCTTCATCAATACTGTCATCAAATGCTGGTCGTGTTAGATGTTTGTCATGTAGTGATGCAAGCTCTTTCACTATAATATAAAATAAATATAATAATTAGCCACATGCATGAGAAAAAAACCCTTAATGTCATTTATTATTTATATAAATTGACATATTTGATACTTAAAAATATCAATTTCTATTGCTCTTGAAATAAATAAAATCTTTTGAAATTTGCTTATTGTTACTTATTCATATTTATCTTTTTTTATTTTTAATGTCAAAGACAACGTCAACATCCTTTGACATTATTTTTTAAATGACCTCATATACATTACATAAATATCTTTTATATATGTATGTATTTTTACTGCATGTATATAAAGGAATATCTACAACTACAATGAACATATATGTTTATAATTATGATTATCTATGAGATTCTGTCACCTTGAAATTGAACAAAGACATTCATTTCACATTGCAATTATAATTTGAAAAGATAGGAAACCTTAATTTTTTTGTCGGGTTTTGTCATACCAACAAAGGTCATATGGCAACTTTCCAGGTTTACTAGTGGAGGCAGACGTAAGGTGCCCCTCCATGCATTATTTCAGACATGAGCAGGTTCCTGAGCAGAACCACCAACATTCTAAAAGCTTCCTCACATAAAAAACCCAAAGTGCCTGGTGGGATTCAAAACTACGGGCTACCTTCACCCTCAGGAAACCTTGAATTCAGCTAACTTTATCATAATGCCATATGATATATTTACATGTGTTTCAAAAATTATCAAACATAACTGTAGCTGAAACAGAAGAGAATATATACAAGCAAATAAATACATAATTATAAATGTTTGCTTACTTTTTAATTTGATTCTCGTCATTTCATACTGGATTTCTTCCACACCATCAACCCTACAAGTCAAACAAAATCTTAAAGCAGAAAGTAAAAAGATCACACCTTATTCTAATCAATTTCTGAATTTTGAACTTTAAATTGTTTTGTCCACATTATGACCACCCCAACACAAAAGACATAGTGCAATATCGCTACCTTCCCAAAACAGATCTTTGAGATGCAATGGTGATAGGCTATTTCTTTCACAACATTCAATTATCAGAAGAAAAAAGTAAAAGAAAAGTCATAAAACACTGTTTTTTTTCTAGAAAAACTATCTTTAAAATGTTTTTAATAGAGTAAATGATTTTTTATCATCCCAGATTGTAAGTTTGAAAGCAAACACAATTTTAGAAATGATTTGTTGAGGACATGAAATCTTCCGCTATTTATCCATCGCCACTATTTTTTTGTTGTTTTAAAGTTTGCAAAAGAAACATTGAAACCATTATGGTACATGATAAACTGGATTACTGAAATATTGTAAAAAAAATGTCACAGATAAGGGACAGGGCACCGGCAGAAGATTTGAAGAACTTGAAACAGTGAAAAAGATAACCAAAACTTATATCCTGCAGACTAGCTGCCCGTGTTTTGATTAATGCCGAGTGTAGTGGCTCTACAAGTAGGCAGAGATGGCTTTAAACACATGACTTAAGTGACAATTGTCTGGGGTCAGTAAAAGACAGGGAAAACTGCTTTTTGTGCTCTTACAGGCAGATGGACCCTCATTAAACATAGATTAGACACACAAATATTGTAAAATTAGAAGCTCATCATATCCTTCCTATAATCTATACCTACCATTCAGGTGGAAGTCTATTCGATCTTGTGTTAACTGTACCCGACTCAAGGTCAAGGTTGACATTGGACATTAGCCCCATCCTGTCATCTGAGACCTGTAAATATACATTAATATCAGCTTAATATACATCAACCATCAGGGACAGGGGTTCAACATTACAGTCAAACCCTAATTCTTATATATTGATATACAGTCAAACTGTATTACAATACATTGTTTTGGTAGTTTTTTTCTTTTTCTTTCGAGAGTTTTCCCAAAATGTCCAAAAAAATCTGTATAATTTTTCCCAATTTAAAGCAGGGGGCATTTTCCTAAAACAGCTGTAACAGGCTCTGGAGTTAAATGCAAATAAAGTCTTTCTAACTGTAGTTATATTAATTCATGGTGAGAGTATTTCCTCCAGCTAAATATTCCATCTTGAATAATTAAGTGATTATCACACTGTTTCTATTCCAAACACTTTAGATTGAGTCTTTGGTTACACTTATATGTAAATGTATCTCTGAATCACACTCCCCTGTTACAAGCATGGAATTACATGTACATGTAAATTAAAATGTACAATGTACGCAACTTTGTCATATTAACTTATTATAAATAAATATAATTTTAGTCTGGAATGCCACCACTTGCTTGTAAGTTTAAAACAAGTACACATACAAACTGTGACAGACATAGGAATATTATACTTAATTTAATTTTGATTGAAAGTACCATAAAAGACTGATAATGTTGAATAATAAAAACATTTCAGTAGCCAGAGTCTATTCTAGGAGGGGAGATGGGGGATTCATATTTTTGAGAATTCATCCCTATTTTTTCAAAGACAGGGTAAAAAAATTTCATAAAGAGGAAGGAAAAAGATCAACAAATGTAATAAATTCTCACTTTTCGATAAAATCCCCCATTTTTCGATTCCTAGAATAGACGCTGGTAGAATTTCAATAGTCATAATATCATTGTAGTACTTGTTTCAACTATATAGTCTTCTTCAGTACAAACATTACATGTACATACACAAATATCAAGTTATTCATAACCCATCAATTATTATTAAAATAAGTTGCATTGAATCACAGCTGACTCATTTAAAATAGTCATAAAGAAGAATAACAAAAAACAACAACAACAACAACAACAACCAAACTTGTTCTTTAGATAGTTTTTATTTCATTCAGGTTTTATCAATGTTACATCTCAATTTTTCTTACCGTAACATCTGTAGTCAAAGAATATTAATGACCAAAACAAGTAATAAAATAATTGTACAAAAAGAGCAGTGGTAACAGATGATGATCATACAATGCTGGTTATCTGATGGCAAAATCTAGAAATAATAGAATATATAGATGATCCAGAGGAGGCAAAATCAATTGTCTTTATTGCCCAGGTTGTCCCACAGCAGTCATTTTTTCGCCGGTATTTTACAGCAGAATAAAGGCAGTCTAAGTCTAACCAAAAATTGGTATATTTTCCCCTAAAAATGGTAATACTTTCCCCTAAATTGCCCTGTGCACATTCTTCACCAGAATTATGACTTAACAGTAGCTGACTTATATCAGCTAGAAGACAGAAAGCCGTCCCTATAGATAGCCCTTGCTATGTACCATGCATGTTAAATTGAATTGAAATTTAAAGTTGTATGAAATATGTGGGTAAATTCCATTCTCAGTTGTTGGAAATTGTTTTCAAATTTTTCACCTTTTCTGATTTATCGTGCCACAGAACAAGGTTTATTAATATTGCAACACTTATTTGGCTAGCCATGATTTTTTTTCAAACTGTCAGTTTTGAAAATCTCGCTGTTTACATAGTTATATGATTTTAGAGTGACCTACCCTTGGGATTTTCCCAAAACATTAATCTGTTAATGTTTGAAAATATTTTCTTACATCAGATAAAAAATCTGTTTATATTTGATATAGTTTAGTAGTAAAATTTCAACAAATTATGTAAAGCATAAATTGATTTTTTATTCTTCAAAACGATAAAGGCACATATAACTAGAACTATCACTAAATGTGATTAATACCCCCGCAAGACTGCTTTGGAAATGAGGAAGTTACAAGTAACAGAATACCTTGTTAAAGAATTGAAATAGAGTTATGGTTGTGGGCAATTAAAGATAGTTGTGGTTTTTGTATGTTGCATTTCCTTACAATATGGTTGACCATTGATGAAGTTTTATTGAATTACTCTGTAATAAATCCAGAAAGAGTTACGCTTCTTGAGCACTGCACTTCCTCTCATTGCGCTTGACCATTGTATGAAATTGCATTGAATTCTAAACATTAGTTTTAAGTTATGCACCGGACAAGGAAAAGGAACAAATGGCAATAACTCTACAAATACTGAAGATGGAGTTATGGTTATTGTACACTGCATTTCCTCTCATTTCGCTTGACTATTGTATGAAGTTGTATTGAATTCCAACTACTAGTTTTCAAGTTATGCACTGGACAAAAAAGTAACAAAGGGCGCAATAACTGTAATGAGTCAAAATAGAGTTATGCTTCTTCTGCACTGCACTTCATCTCACTGCCCTTGACCATTGTATGAAGTTTCATTGAATTCCAATGGCAAACATTAATTTTCAAGTTATGCACTGGACATTAAAAAGTAACAAAGGGCAAAAACTCTTAAATGAGTCCAGAAAGAGTTATTGTTTATGTGCACTGCGCTCAATGTGCTTGATCATTGTATGAAATTGTATTGAACTCCAAACAGTACTTTTCAAGTAATGCTCTGGACAAAAGTAAGCAATGGAAAAGTATTAGTAACAAAGGGCAATAACTCTGAAATTACTTTAGATAGAGTTATGGTTCTTATGTTCTGCAGTTCCTCTTATTGTGCTTAACCATTGTATGAAGTTGTTTTGAATTCCAAGCAATAGGTTTCAAGTTATGCCCCGGACAAGGAAAAGTAACAAAGGGCAATAACTCTATAATAAGTCAAGATGGAGTTATGGTTCTTGTGCACTGCACTTCCTCTCAATGTGTTTGACCATTGTATGAAGTTATATTGAATTCCAACCATTAGTCTTCAAGTTATGGTCCGGACAAAAGAAAGCAATGGAAAAGTAACAAAGGGCAAGAACTCTGAAATTACTTTAGATAGAGTTATGATTCTTGTGCACTGCACTTCCCCTAATTGTGCTTGACCATTGTATGAAGTTGTATTGAATTCCAACCAACCGACCAACTGACCGACCAACCACCGGATGACTCCTATATACCCCCCCCAAACTTTGATTTTGAAGGTATAAATATCATTCACTATGGTACCGAACTGGCAATGGAACCCGACGATAGGAGAAGAGCAGTGATAAATTCATTGGCGTAAAAGTTGGGATAGTTGATAAGAGTAAGCAGTGTTTCCGATAGATTTCAATTTGTTTTAATGGTTAAGTCAGACTTCCAGAAATACATGTACGTTGGTCAGACGGACATGTCCGATAAATTTTGATTAAGTCCGACAATTTTTTATTCCGGATCAGTCCGACTGTCCGGCTTTTACCCAAGTTGCATATATACAAAATGGCGTCGCTAAAGGTGCCAAACCTGGGAAAAAATGAAAATCTATTTCAGAGGAGCGCGCAGAACAGCAGAAGAAGGATGAAAAGAACAGACCTGAGAAAATATTTAATGAAAATTGGAAGCAGGACCGTGAATCGTTGGTGTACGACAGGGAGGAGATAAAAATGCGCTGTACTGACTGTGCAAATTTTTATGGCGAAAAAATTATAACCGAAAAGTGTCTTAGAAATACAAACACAAGTTTTCCTTTGATTTTGATTAATTTTATTCGGTCTGACAGATTTTCATGCTTTGTCAGACTGAATGTTTGACACTTTTTTTTCACTTTCGGGAAGTCTGTTAAGTGTGCTCAGAAGTAAATTCCAGGCGTTTTTACGAATATTCCTTGTAAATGTAGCAGTGGGTGGGGAACTTTTTGTTGCTTCCTTGTGTTTTTTATAGTGAGTTTGAAGAGCTGGCCCGAAGGGCCTGCTCTCAAAGAGAGCTTTAAGGTAACGCCAGTACCTGCTAGATAATGATGGTTTTGAAAACTTTCGTCCGAAGCACTGAATTGACACATCGCAACTTTTCGAATTACAATATAACGATAAAAGCTGAGGTATTCTGATTGAAAATGGAAGCGTAGACTGGTGTCCTGCGCACTTATATGGAAACCATAATAGGACAGGGAGCCAGAATAAATGGAAGCAGTGTATAAAATATTTAATGACAATTTTAAAACGGAAAATGTAAAATAAAAATGAACAATTATTTTATACGGGAAAGTCAAAGCCCGGGGTCGCGGAGCGGATCCGGGCTTTGGCCCCAGGCTATAGACTACACGTGTATATTCAAAAATAAAAAAAAATGTATAGAATTCTATACCGATCAGTGAAATTTTCAGTACCATTTCTTGTTGGGCGCCGTAACGCAATGATAAACGGCGGTGTATTCCGACAACAGCCAATCCCAACTTTTCAACTTACAAGATAATGATAAAAGCCGAGAAACTCTTATTGAAAACGGATGAGTAAACTGGTCCCCTGCGGACTTCTTAGTTCTATGGGGACTATAATAGGACAGGGAACCAGAATAAACGGCAGCAGTGAATAGAATACCAAATGGCACTTTTAAAACAGATGTAAAATGAAAATGAATGATTATTTTAACAGCCTTTGCCTAATTTCATATTACTATTTCACCGTAAAAGTAAATCGAGCTCGCTTTGAGGCTTTGCCTTTTTCATATCAGTATATATATTTAAGATTTTTTTAAATCGTTATTATTTTTTTTTGGATAGAATTTCAGGTTCCTGTGCTGAAATTGATTATTGAATGGGTTTCTGCAAAATAAATTGAACTAGATGCAGTGTTTGAATGGGGATACACTAGACCTATATCATTTGACACTATATCATTTGCGGAAAACAGAGAAACAAAAGTACAATAATCTGATGACCCAAACCTCTTCAACGTAATCCGCCAAAGACAAATCAAAATTTTGTTTTGTTCAACCGGCATCTAAAATAAAATTTCAAGCGTTACTTACTTGGTCAGAGAAAATGTTCCGACTTTGCAGAGCATTATTTCTCATCAAAATAAATACTTCTGTTAAGCTTCGAGTTGCCATTGTGAGTAGATATATATTTAAGCCAAACTCGCATGAATTTCAATACCAATATTATCCGTGTGTTGTCAGTCCGCCATTTTGATTTTTTGACCGGTTTAATGATAGAATATCACTTTGCGATAATTACTAAAATTAAAAGATTCATACTACTAAATTTAATTTTTGTAAAACGCCACTAAATATTCTAAAAAAGGAAATAATTATGAGGCACTGGGATGGGTATAATGAGCTGGGTTTATACAACACAAGTGAAAGATTAAAAAAACTGGGATAAATAAATATAGGATAGGGAGGATATGAAATAATGAAAGAAAATAGAGTGAATAAAAAAGCTGTGGAAAAAACTGCTTGGACCTTTTTATTCAATACTGTAGCAGGCAGGTTTACGACTTGTTTTGGTAGTCTGTTCCACAAGTTTGTGGTATGCAGGGAAAAGAAAGGACCTGAATTATTCTAGTCCGGCATCTAGTTGACGTAGACTATATGGGGTGCATAATTATTATGACGGTAGAATCTATAGATCTGTGACGTCAATGTGCAGGGGAGAGTTAAATAGAGGATATTGAATGAATGTAGTTTAATACTAAATATATTGAACGAGTTGAATAAAATCATATTATGCGAGCCTCTGGCGAGCATAATATTGTTTTATTCAACGAGTTCAATAAATTTAGCATCGACACTACACGAATATAATATTCTATTTATCACATATGTAAAATAAGAACAGTATACGTAAACTGTTAAAATGAGTAAATTTTCAATGACGCGCACATAGTGTAACGCTAACATTAGCGCGCTTTAACGCTATGTTTCCATATAGCGCAAATGACGTCACGTCAAAGTGTTATTACACTATATAGTCTGTCCCATCAAATTTGAACATTCCATTTTTTATTTAATATAATAGTAAAATCATTTAAATTAATGTCATGTTAACCCTGACGTCAATATCTCTAGGCATGTTTTTCATTTTTTTCAAAAAGTCAGTAATATGGTCAAAATGTGTTGAAATTTTATATTTTCCCGTTGACTTACGTTGTAAACCTGACGTGACGTCCATTTCAAAATGGCGGCGCCCTAT